ATGGCACTAACAAACTGGACATCTGGGATATCAAAATCAATTCCTTAGTAGGAAGGGATCCAATAGACTTTTGTGGCTTTTACTGAGAGTCTTTCATTAAAATACTGTAAAATAGCAAGCAAAGACAAGACCACTCCTTCCTTACAACCTCTTCAACCGTGTTTTGGAAAGAAAGGACTGTATTGAATTTTATAACAACTTTTAGCGGAACAGTTTTGCAGTAAACTTCTGTTTGGTTGAGTAACTTCATCTGCATTTTGAATCTACTTTTTTTTTTACATCAACAACATAGTTAATAAGCAGAAATAATTATTACCTATTAACAAATTCTTAAAGAGCATCTACTAACTGGTATGTCAGTGGGGCAAGGGAGGGCAAGGGACAGTTAGTACACAATACAATACACTCACAGTCGATCAAGACAGGATATTCCAGTGAACAACAACATTTGGAAAAATCTTGGTATTTATGAAATGTGTTGCCTAGTCTTTTAAGTGCATGTGAACTCTTGGGATTTCAACTGGCCAAACGGGCTAAGTGGCATTAAATCCAATTTCTGATTTACAGAAGACTGATGGAGTGCATTGTTTCTGCCAAGATTTTAGCCCAACACTAATAAGTAGATGTGAATTACACTGAAACTTGAATGACAAAACCATCAATTAATACTTAGTTTTTGCTTGGATTTATATAAAAGCCAAATATTTTATTATTTTATAGTAAGTTTTTCATTTGAAGCTGAAGACTGTACATTTTAACTGACAACTTTTTAATTGTGATGATCAAAATTGGTAGCAGGAAGACTTTACTACCAAATTGTTTCCACCTGAATATACAGAAAAATATTTTCTTTTATATTTACAGTTAAACTGTTCTTCATTACTTTTATTGGATTTGACATTTGCTTGTGAGAATAGTTTCATACATATACAAAATCTCACTCAGTTCAGTGCAACTACTTATATAGAGAGATACAGATACTAATGGACACACCTACACAGGAAAGTTGTACCTGTTAAAGTGTTAATTCGTTAACTGTGCTAAGGACTACTGCACAGTGTATTTGTACAATGTATGTGGAGAGCAAAAGCTTTGATAAGCTCGTGTTAAGTGGTTTCCTCCACAGCAACTTGAAGCAAAGATTTGGGACAGGTAATGCATAGGTTATATGCATATATAGTCATTAAAATTCAAGAGGAGCCATGGTATAAATGACTAGTTAGAATGGTTTTTTAACTATATGTCTATTTAGAGAAAAACACCACTTTATAACTATCCAGTTGCTCAACTGTTTACCACATTTTCATATAGACAGACATTTAGTGTTGGTATTTGATAGAGAGATCCTACAATTACCTGCACTGTACTTGCTGCTTGTCTGCTTTGAAGTTTTAATTGTAAGTGATGCCACTTGGGGAGACTTTAGAAGTGCAGAATGTAGAACACAATTTTTAGCCCCGTCCTTGCACACTCAAAACAGCCATTGAGTTTCACAGGAATTTAGGCAAGTCAGGAATGCAGAAATAGCTCCTCTATGCAGACAGTTAAATAATGCAATTGCAGAAACAAATAATAGCAAAAATATGCAAGGAAGAAAAAATTTCAGCTAACTTGAAATGAAGTGAAGCCTCTGTGAGGTGGAAGAATGAAATTTGCTCCACGGAAGAAATGGTAGAAAGCCTTCATGCTTGGCTTAGGAACGGATAAAGAAGACAAGAAAAGGAGGCAAATACAAAGTCTAAGAAATAAAGACATTAAACATCAGGAGACATTCATCAGAGCGTCCATCTCAGTTCTTCATTTCTTGACAGCTGGGACACACACAGGCCTTAGGTTAGACAAAGTGCTTTTGTGCTGCTACAGCCCAGCTGTTTTTGTGACTGGAGCTGACAGCCACAAAAATTAATGCCGTGCTAATTGACTGAGAGATTTTACTCTTTATGCCTCTTATAATAATGGCGGCTGGGCAGGTCTTAAAGGAATCGTGCCTCCTGAAAATAGACTTTCTACCTATCACTACAAAAGGTTTCTTCTTGGCCTGGACTCCAAGATCTGGTCACTATGTATTTTCCTTGGCAACTGACATAAATGCTTAAGAACTGTCACAGGAGGGGGCCTCAGTAATAAAAAGGCATGGACTAATGAGTATCTCCACAAACACTGAACAATACTTGAATGTGCTCATACACAGATTATAGGACTGCTGAAAGCAAAGATCTGTGTTTCTTTACTTTTTGAAATTAAAGGGCCTCTGTTTACATGCAAAGCCCCAGGGCTTGTATGAAGCCTGGGCTGCCCTGTCATTACCACATGTCCAGCCTCACGCTTTCATTCAGCAAATAACCTGTTTTTCACATCACATCATTTAAGATGTACTTCTGTCAGCTAGATGAGTAGGCCAAAAGTTACATATTAGGTTAGCAGCTTCCCATTTTCTTGGGATTTGGGAAAAGCCAAACATCATCTCCTCACCTACACTCCCTTCCACAGGAGCGTCACCAGCCCTCTCCGGTAGTAAGAAGCACTTCGACACTTCAGGTCTCCAAAAACAGCAGCAAGCCCAAGTCACAACACCCATGAGCTCTGAAAGCTGAAGAGGCCTAAAGGTCTGGCTCGGAACCTCTTAACGGCCAGGCCCAGGGACATAGGAATCGGGGCCAACGCCAGCCATGAGATGAGGCAGGGCAGCACGCAGACCTCACAGCAACACCGTGGGTAAAGCCAGGGTAAAGACCACACAGGCGAAGGGACAGCAGCAGCGTGGCTCTGCGCCTCCTGAAAGGACACCCTCGCTCACCTCCCTCCAC